TGAATGCACCTCTGGACAAGAATCCAGTCTCTGCTCAGTAGTTCACCAAGTTTGGGATTAGCAGATACAAACTCGTATACAGAACAGGTAAGCAACACGGTCCTACCGCACAGCATGGGGAACCATACTGCATAACTTGCAATAAACCATAATGGGAAAGAAGATGGAAAAGCGTCTGTATAAAAATGTATATGACTGAATCACTATGCTGTGCACCAGAAACTCACACAGTACTGTAAATGATGAAAAAGTAATGAATGATACAAAAAAAAATTAGAAAGTACATGGAAAGGTGCCACAGTTACTTTGTAAATATGGCGGATGAAGGAATAGATTCATCAACTTTGGAGTCACAGGGATGAGGTTCTGCCAAGTACAACCCACAACCACATCGCATGGGGATGCACCACGAAAAAGGGAACCAGAGTATCATGGACACCAGGCCGGCACGGGCACCCCTGATTCAGGTAAAGGAGGACACACAACACATACCTCTTATGATGGATCCCGTACCAAACTCTAAACAAAAATCAGTGGCACTAAAGCATCCCTTCAAACAAAGAGAAGCAATGTGGGGGGAGGGCAAAGCTCAGTGGTACAGCGTGTGCTTAGCACGCACGAGGTCCTGGGTTCAATCCCCAGGACCTCCTCCAAAAATAAACAAATAAATAAATAGACCTAACTACCTCCCCCCAATTCTTTTTAAATTAAAAAATAAAATAAAATATTAAAATAAAAAACCAAGGGGAAGCAACATAAAACGTCATACAAATTTTTCCCCCCAAAACATTATTTTGCAAGGGGGAAAATTTTCAACCTTAGAAAGTCTTTGCAAGAATAAAAGCAAACACAGGCACGCTCCTTCACTTGGGCGGGGGACATTCTGCCACATGGGCTTGCGTGCTGTCTCCGTGTCTCTATGTGTACACGAGTGTGTATACATACAAGTGAATCTATGCATCCATCCTGTTTCTCCTGCCCCAGAAGACTAAGAAAGGACAAGGAACCTCCTCGTGTTTGTGTGCCATGACGCTTCACAGCGAGCTGCATACACGACAGCCCTTCCCCACTAGGAAGTTTGGCATGCGTCTCCTAGAGCGAGGACAGCGTCCCCCACAACCACAACACCGCTGAAGAATAACACTGAGTCAATCAACGCACCCTACACAGTCCCCAGGTAACTGCACCACCGGGCTCTCTTCTCCAATCCAGGATCCATTCGAGAGTCGCTCAGGGTTATGTTTCTCCACCTTTTGAAAACTGTAACCGCCCCCCCACCTCCACCCCTGGCCTTTCTTGGTTTGTTCGTGGCACTGACTTTTCGGGAGAAAGAATCCAGGTCAATTGTCTCATACAGTGCCGTATGTTCTGGATTAGCCTGTTCATTTCTTTGGGCACAAATTCAGGTTGAACCTTTTCGGCAGGGGTGTCACACAGGTTTTTTATTTTTTTTTGGTGTCCTTGTTGCCTCGTATCAGGAGACACAGGACACCGAGCTAACCCATTCTTGCTGGTCTCCGGGTTAAAAGAAGAGCCGCCAGATTGTCCCATTTTCTCTCCCCATTTACCTCTTTAATGAAACCTTCTCTCCTTCATTTTCCCTGAGACACACAATACGGTCACCATAACTTTTTTTGGTCTGGATTATCCTGACCCTCCAAGTGGGCTTATTTTCACGGCTATTTGCTGCCATAAAATATCCTTCTCAGGGATTTACAGTCCACTTGAGAAACCTCTTCATCCTCATCAAAGGATTAAAAAATAAATCACTGACTATCCCAGGATGGACATAAGAAGAATAAGCAACCGACTGCCGGCAGGTCCCGTCGGCTCGAGTGACATCTCACAAAAAGGAACTTTCCTTTTTCTTTTTTCCGTCGTCCCTAAGAAAACTTCAATATCCGTCAAGTTTTTTTCTTTGGAGCGAACAAATGAGAAATCTCAGAGACAAGATCAAAGCGTTTTCTTGATTCTCATCAAAGTCTTCAATCCATTTAAGGAGAGGGAAAGTTTAATATGCCGTATTCGAGAACCCCGAACTCTGGACTGCGAGGTACCTTAGAATCCCCCGGGAGAATGGCTTCACATTGGTAAGATATAACGGATATTGTTACTAGGTATTCAGGAGCAGAACTTCTCGCCCCCGCTGGAAGACTCCCCCTTTACAGCAGAGCATCATGAAAGGACGATGAACGCTGTTTTCATTTATTATGAATTAATCATGAGTCTCTGCATACTTTTAGTTAGCTACCGAGTCTGTCAGTTTTTTTTTTTTTTCTGAGCCCTTCTAGCTGGGTCCAAAGACTGTCAATCTCCCCTCCAGACTAAAATAGCAATAACAACAAGAAAAGAACCCAAAGCACTTCCCTGCAAAACGCACAGTTGTTTTTCCAGAGGAATAAAAATAAAACTCTCTACTTAGCAGGTGCTTAAGGCTTTGAAAGCTAGGTCAGAAATCAAAGCCGGCTCCTGCATTGATGACAGCTTTAGAAAATAAACTATTCTTCAAAACCCTCCCTCCCCGCCAAAAAAAGTTTGTTTCTGAAAGAGAAAAGAGACATCACATGAACAAATTAGAGACATCACAATGGAAAATGAATCTGTTAAGCTGCTCAGCGTTCACAGGGAACACAAGCCACGGCGCTAAGCCTCCGAGGATGTTTGCTGCAGAACGCGAACCCTCTGTTGGGGGGCTAAAATTGAACACAAAAGGAAAATCCTAGAAGGTCACGGTCTTTTTCTTCTCTTTAATTCGTATTCTAACTCTGATCCCTTACAGTGAAAGACCATCGAGTATTCTAGGAAGAAAGAGAAGATTAAGCTGAATCTCCTGTTCCACGGATCAGGGTTTCTGCACTCGGCACTATGGACATTCGGGGCTGGGCAACACTTTGTGGTGGGGCGTCCTGTGCATGGCGGGATGGTTAGCAGCAACCCTGACCTCCACCCGCTCCATGCTGGTAACCACGTCCCTCCAGACTTAAGAAACCTAAAAACGCCTCCAGACTGGGCCATATTCCCCCTGGAGGGCAAAATCTTCGTGCAGGAGAAACACTGCCACCTGTAGCCCCAGAGTCTCAAAGTTGTATTTCAAAGACGGTTTAATCTCCATTCTACAGAGAAAAGCCCCAGCACGGGGAAGTTAACCTGCTTCCTGAGCACACAGGCCCAGAGGTGGGATCCAAAGCCCAGGTCTCCCCGACTCCACACGGTCCCACTTCCGGGGGCCTTTGGGGGACGATGTGAACCAGACCTTGTCTGACAGCATCTCCGTGCCCACTTCTGTGAGCCTGCTGCTACAAGGGACCTGAATGCCCAGCAGGGCCCCCCTGACATCACAATGGTCCTCTTCGCATCATCAGGCAGCAGCCCCTGCCCGAGAGGAGGGTGCATAACAGGGACTCTCACCTCCAAGGGGTTTGGAAACCGCCTCCTTCATCCCGTCCCCATCTGCACCAGACACTCACTCTTGCTGCAGGAAGAAAGCTGTTCTGTCCCACAGTGTGGAGACCAACCGAGCACCGCGAGTCTTCCCACAGTGCCAAGTGTTTGTACCTCTGCTGGTTCAACCACTGTCGCCTCAAAGGTCCAGGATATGTGTGAAACCATCGATAAAACGCCACCCCTGTATTCTCCAAGATCTTTCAAGCGACACGCTTATTATGACAGTTTACTAGGGTGTACGGACCGGACTGGCCCAGGGCAGCTGTTCTCCAGGAAAATGTTTGTCCCCACGGCTGCTCCCCTTTTGTTGGAAAGTCATCTGTGAAGGAAAGGGAGACCTGGGGCAGCCCCAAATGGACGTCATCCCTGCAATATCAGAATGCTCTGAAACGTCATTACAAAGGTCACCAAATAAATGCCCCACGTGACTTGGACGACTTGGTCAGGGTGAAGGGAGCACTCTGTCAACAGGCAGTGACACTTTGAGAGCGAAAGCAGCTGTACTCACACTTGAGCGGCCATCCTGCAGGAGACGTTCCGTCACTGAGACCACCATGTGCAGGTACAGAGACGGTGACTGCCTCTCAGCAGAGAGAAACTGGGGAGCGCCCAGCTCATCCTGTGAATTCATCCAAAAGCAGAAGAGTCAGGTACTGAATAACTACATCCTGAAACACTTCAATGAAATGGCCCTCTGTCATGCCTAGGGGATTCCTCTCCCTGCCTCTTTCTTTTTTCCACTCTCTGCCCAACTCCTAGTCACCCACAGGTGTCAGCTGACTAGCCACCACCTCCGGGAAGCCTCCCGTGATTGCACAATCTAAAGCAGTTGCCCCACTGTTGATAAATCAAAGCACCTCCCCTCTCCCCTTTACAGTAGTTGTCACTATCTGCAAAACTATATTTGGCTTCTTTTTATTTGGTATCTGTCCTCCCCACAGGCTGTATGGGTCAAGATGGCAGGGGCCACCTGTCTGTCATTACAAGTGCTCAGAAAGTATTTTCCAAATACAGCTGGGGTCACAGAGAGTGGCACATGGGACTCTGCCCTCAGCTGCTTTTGTAGCCAAGTAAGAATGTTTTTACATTTGTAAGAACACTTCTGTGATATATGAAAAGTCCTTCATGAAGTCCTGATTTCAAGGTCCACAAAACCCAAAAGTATTGGAACACAGCCACAGCCATTCATTTATTACCTGTAACTGCTTCCATGCTACAAAGTCCACGCTGAGTAGTTCAGACAAATATCGTTTGGCTCAAAAACATGAAAATATTGACTATCTGGCTTTTTACCGAAAAAGGTCTTTCAACCTCTGGGATAGAGCCCTACCTGGGAGCTGAGAATGAACTCAAAGAAAACCAGCCGGATGGCTCTGAACCTCCTCAGGAACCTACGTACTTTTCAGTTGTTGGCGTTTGGACAAAACCCAGCACGTGCCTTGAAACACTTAATGTGTAGACAGTAGTGTTTATCCACTTAAAATAGGACGTACAATCCCACCTGGTAAAGATGATGCGCAAGACAACGCCACGGTACAGAAAAATGACGATTCTACCGATCTTTGTAAGTGGAGATCTTGCTTTACTGAAGGTCCGCTTCCAGCCACAATTTCTTAGGTTCCACCAGTGTCCCAGAAATGTCCTTCTTCCCCCTCCCCAGAGATGGCATTTGAAACTGTCATTGGTCTTCCCGCATGGCTTTCCACGTTACATTCTTGTTGAAAAGGAATAGTGTGTGGGTGGGCACTGACCTTCCACCCCATCTGCTGGGGGGGCATGGCCATCTCTTCCGCCCACTCACCATGACATCACTGGGCAAGACCAAGCAGGTAAGGACATGGATTTGAACAACTGAGGGGCCCCCTGCCCCCTTGCAAGGCAGGGAAGATCTCAGTCCTCCTCTCCCTTTGTCTTGCCCACATTTTTTATGTACAGGAAATACTATAAGACCTCAGCAATGGAAGCCCTTTGACCCCTACTCGATACCTTACGCAGAGCAACAGACACATGTAAAGGGATTAAGCCACAGTGCCAGCCACAGCGGTATTGCCACCAGGGACTCTATCTGCAGAAGGAAAACACGCAAAGAAGAACTGAAAAGCTCCTGTTCAGAGGCCCCCTTTTCAAAATATCATTAGAGTGGTTCTTGCTCAGGGTGGTTCTGCCCCACTGAGTCAACACGCATCTCTGGTTCTCACAACTGGATGGGGAGCACCCGCATCCACTGGGTAGAGGCCAGGGATGCTGTCAAATTTCTCTGAAGCACAGGATAGCCCTCCAGCACCCAGAAGTATCCAACCCAACCCTCCACCACAAAGAGTTGGCCTCAACCATCAGTGGTGCCAAGGTTTACAAACCACATCAGACGACCGGTCCAGCAATCATTAAATTGGGCGTGATGACAGAGATTGGCCAAAGCCTTCGTGGGGTTGTGGGGGGGGGGTCCACACCCAGGTTGTTCAAACAATTATCCACTGCCAATTCTGAGTGGTGGTTCCACCATGACTATGGTAAGTTGTGTGAAAATAAGTCCCTTTAGACAAAATTTATAATCCCAGTTACAGTCACAGAACAAGACAACAGAAGGCGGTCAAGCAGTGAGGTCTGCTTTATCACTAGGAACCTATATTTTGATTACTCTATGAGTTAAAAAGTAATAAGCATGTTTATCTATAACCTATGAATCTCTGTTTATAATCATCATAATTGTCATCTAGTTGGTCATTTTTTTCATTATTCTCATCCCTTCTACACACGAGGTTTTAGTTACTCAAATCTGAAAATCATGACAGTGATTTAAGGGCAGACAGAGCCCCTTGTCCTTGATTCTGAGACACCCAAAGCCCTGGAAACCAAAAGATTTTTGTAAAATTTTTTTCTTTTCATTTGGCAGCAAAACCCAACCTGAACTGACTGAAGCATCCGTCTCGTCTCAACCCACCTGCCTCTGCTGTTTGCTAGTATCGTGGTGCCTTGCTGGGAAACATTAGGCTTCAACTGCACTGGGAAAACATCAAGAAGTGTTCAAGACTTCTTGAGTAACAAGAAGTTCAAGACAAGTGAGTAACAGTGATAGGAAGACAAGAGAGCGTTTGTCATTAGCAATAGCCCAGTGTGACTGGGGTGTGCCTCCAACGCCTCTTACTTGAAGAAGACGGTGTAGGAAAATGGTGAAGACTTGGAGAGGCAGGTGATTGACATTTGGCCGATGGGTTTACCCTGGGATGACCAACGAGCTTAGCTTGCCTGGGGTTAAGGGATCTAGTTTTCATACTGGGGCAGTCCCAATAAGCCTACTTACTTGTGAAAACTTACAGGATATTCCATGTACGAGCAAACAGTGAAGGCAGTGTGAGGATTCAGGAGACTGACCGAAGGAATGAAAGACGCCTGATGGAAATCCAGGGTGAAAAAGTATCTTCTCAACATAACACAGCAGGATATGGCGTTGAGGAATTTGCAAACAGAATATTCTTGGTGGACGTGTAGGGAGAGTGTACTTGTCAACAGAGGACGGAGGTCTCCCTCCCTGTAGTGGCTGGTCGTGTTGAAAACTGATGTCAGTACGTCTCTCTTTGGGACCTGCCTTCAGCCAGAGTCTCCTTTCCCAAGGTGCTGTCACCTACCGGTGGGGGGGGGGCTCAGAGATCATCTTTTTCCACGGTAGCCCAAAGACAATGGGGCAGCCTCCCTGCCTTCAAGTGGGACAAGTGAGGGACCGTCCTGGCTCTAGAGATCGCCCTGTAACGGGCTGAGGTCTCCAACAGGACAGCAACACAGCTCACCTCCTCCCTCGGCCTCATCCCCCTTACAAGGGTTGATCCAGGAATTCACCCCACCCCAAACCCTCCTGAATGCACATCTCGTCCTAGAATCTACTTCCTGGGACTGCATGTAAGACAGAAGCAGATACAAACTTTAGTCATGAAAATATATACAATACGGATGAAACAGCCTCATCCTGCCCCTAAGCTGTGATCCCGAGAGAAACCCTTACAAATGATGGGAGAGAGGTCTTCAGGCTGAGCTGCAGGGTCCGTGAGTGTGTCGGCGCTTCGGGAACAGGTGAGATAGAGTGGTCAGTGACTGGAGAAACCAACAGCCACCATGACAGAAAACTGAACTCAAATTACCCACACATCATCACGCAAACAAGAAGGATCTGCCAAGAGATTATTTCCCAAGAGTCCAAGGACCAGCAGGAAGCAACCTGGGCTAGAAG